TGAGGGGAGTGAGGAGATCACAGTGTGTTTGGATGATGAGGGGAGTGAGGAGATCACGGTGTGTTTGGGTGCTGAGGGCTGTGAGGAGATCGCGGTGTGTTTGGATGATGAGGGGAGTGAGGAGATCATGGTGTGTTTGGATGATGAGGGGAGTGAGGAGATCACGGTGTGTTTGGATGATGAGGGCTGTGAGGAGATCGCGGTGTGTTTGGGTGCTGAGGGGAGTGAGGAGATCACGGTGTGTTTGGATGCCGAGGGGAGTGAGGAGATCACAGTGTGTTTGGGTGCTGAGGTCGGTGACGAGATCTGAGATTGTGTCCTATGGCCAGCATCCCTGTGAGAGAGCAATGCTCGTCCAGGTCCTATCACCGTTGAGCAGAGAGAGTGCCCCACATTTCCTGTGTTTGGCTCCTGTGTGGGATGTTGGCTCTGGCAAGGGGTCTGGGCATGTCTTGTCTGAGTGTTTCTATTCCAGCCTTGTGGGAAGGCCAGGCATCATGGAGGGAAGGAGGACCGGAAGGGGTGAAAAGTCATCTCAGGAATTTGAGGAAAGAAAGCAGGAGGGGTTATTTTCAGTCTCCTCTTCAGTGGGAAACACAGTTTCATACACACAGAGTTTCTCTTAGGAGAATTTGAATAAATCTGACAAGATCTGGTGGTGAATTACTCTCTGAATTATTTCTAGAAAAGCAGAGCAAAATGATTTACCAGGCGACGTCAGTGTCATTCTGAGGAAGGCCTATAGACACTTAAGTCATTACAACCACCAGCGCTTTCCTTCCATCAGAGAAGAAAAGTAAGTGTTTGTCTTTTTGCAATATCACTTCTTCATAATCATTGTACAAAATTTAGCGGGCTCTGAAAAATGCGAAAAGGTATAAAACAAGCAACTAGAACCACCTTTGCAAAAGCCAGCCATCGTGGAGGTTTTAGTAAGTTCCTCTCTGGTCTTTTGTGGCCTGAGATTTGTACTGTTTTGCGAACACTTTCACACCCTACTTTTTAACATGAATTTAGTTTGTAGGCATATGGATGGTTCGGTCACCGCGGCACCTCTCACTGTTCTGGTGGTTGCATGGCGTTTTGTGGGTGGGAGAACAGGTTTCTCTGGAGCCTTTTTCAGGCTGGTTTGTTTGGCTTCTGTGCTTTCTCGAATCCTCCAGGCACTGGAGAGTTTGGGATAAGTCCTGGGCTGGTGTCTTGGAAGCAGGAAGCTGAGCCTGAGATTTTCGGAAGCACATGGAAAGCGCTGGCCGGTTTTGCCTTCGTGGGTGCGGGTGGGTCGGGGGGTTGGTCCCCTGCCCCCCGGAGCGACTTTGCACCTCCTTGATAGCCCTGTATGTTTTTAAGAGAATGGGAAACAAGTAAAGCTTATTGATACGGGAGCTGAAATTGTCTGTTCGGTTTTCTGGTGGCCACACGGGACACTAACAGAGAAGGTGTATTAGTTATCTGCAGCCGCATAACAAGTACCCACAAACTTAGCAGCTTGAAACAACACAGGTCCATGAACTCGCCATGCCTGCAGGACGGGAACCTGGGCACAGGTCCATGACCTCACCATCTCTGCGGGACGGGAACCCGGGCACAGGT